GAAGGCCACCAGGCCTTCCCTGGTTCCCCTCCCAACACTGTGGCCTGGGAGTCCTGTCAGGTGGTAAGCTAGGGAATTTGTAAGACTCAACCCATTTGCTTTCCTTCTCTCAGAGTCTAAAGTGGCTACTGTCTAAATTAGGAAAACAGGTTTTTTAAATAAGTTTTGTCCATTTTTCTAATTGCTTATGACATAAGAACAATATCTGTAAACATTAATCCTTCATGGAAAGAAGCAAACAAACTCAGAAATGCCATTTTTAGTTTTCAACACTATATAAGGCAGATCGAAAGGAGGTTAGAATTATATCTGAGTACCAATTCACCATATCCATCTACATTATCCCCATGCTGCAAAGAAGAATACTGGGGCTCAATAACTCACAGAGATAGTAAGTGGCAGAATTAGGATTAGAAACACAATCTGATTTCAGAACCTCTGTCTTCAGTCATTCTTCTCTATTTCTTTCTTAATTCTCAACTATTTTCATCCATCCATGCCTGACTGATTCTTTTCCATTTTGGATCTACTGCTTGTATATCCAAATCCAGTCTGACATAGCAGAGGGAAGGCCCTGGAACACTAGACAAATCATAAAACGAATAACCACTCTTATAGATAAACAGGAGAAAAAAATAAATCCATGGTCCTTTATCATCAGGTCAACCTCACACTCAAGAAAATTGTATTCCGGCCGGGCGCGGTGGCTCAAGCCTGTAATCCCAGCACTTTGGGAGGCCGAGACGGGCGGATCACGAGGTCAGGAGATCGAGACCATCCTGGCGAACACGGTGAAACCCCGTCTCTACTAAAAAATACAAAAAAAACTAGCCGGGCGAGGTGGCGGGCGCCTGTAGTCTCAGCTACTCGGGAGGCTGAGGCAGGAGAATGGCGTAAACCCGGGAGGCAGAGCTTGCAGTGAGCTGAGATCCGGCCACTGCACTCCAGCCTGGGCGACAGAGCCAGACTCCATCTCAAAAAAAAAAAAAAAAATGTATTCCTCACTGTTGCTCAAGATACAGCCCCTCTAAATGAAGCTCTCAGCATCCCATTCTCCTTTCATTTAACACCTTTTCCTTTTATTTGCAATTCTCCTTGACTTAAAATAACCAAATAGTGCTGTCCGCATTATTACTATTAGAATTAATGAATAATTAGGAATAAAACTTCATGGAATTCAATGTCTGGGCTGAGGAACCCTACCCTAGAAAAATTTTTATGTAACTAGTATATAAAAGTGGCATTTAGTTATTTGTCACTATAGTTTACTTTCCCTCTCCCTCAAACAACCGATATTACTCAATCTTTGGAATCACAGCTTTATAAATCATGTAAGGCTACACAGATTCTATTTATAAACAACTCTCAAAGGCCATATTGTGTCCCCCGTTCACATGCCAAACTCCCACGGAGATCTAGCCATGTGCGGATCAAGGTCACACCGTGGATAATATTCTTGCTTTCATCTCCACGTGAGAAACGAGTGAAGGCATAAGTCTTTTACATCAGTAAAGTTCAAGCTCCAGTGTAACTGAATAGGGTCCAAGGCCAAACACAAAGGCTGGTTTTTAACAGAATTGTTGCCATGACTTGGTCACCTCCCAAATGTGCATGCATATCAAAGCAACAAGCACAAACTGATTGAGACTGCTCAGATCAGAACTAACCAAAGGACTCACTCACTCAGAATCCAGCAGAATTACTGCATTGGAGCTGTCAAACAATAGGTTACTGATCACCCAGAATCAATAGCTATACTTCTACCTCCCTCTCACTTAACCACTCAGCTCCAAGCTGAGCAGATGCAGGCAAAATAATATAGTTTAAGAAAAATAGAAGCCCGTGAAATTGGTAGTCTTTAAACCTGCTTCCTGCAAAGGTAATTCTCTACAGTGATTCTTATCTTTCAGTGTCTTGGGTAATTATAGGATTTAGAAGTTTTATCCTAATTTGTCCGTTGTTTGTATCAAGCAGTATATTATTTTCTTCTCAAGCTACAGGAATCATAATTTCCATGCCACTGTTGTTTTGAAGATAAAATGTATTCTTTATTACCTCAAGCAGCAATTGATGTACTATGTTTAACAAGTATCCAAACAAGTCAAGCAGAGGAGAACCCATGATAATGTGGACATTTCTGTGCATCACTCACCCAGGTGAAAAGGAGAAGTCAAGTGTACAGTGTCTCTGAATTTATGACAAGATTTCACCACCTCCACTTGAGAAAATATCACACAGTCTCATTCTCCTCTTTCAGAGCCAATATTAGAGGTGATGGCCCATTTTCGGTCACAACAACAACCAAATGGTTGCACTGGTTTTAAATAAGTTTGCTAAAGATTACAAGTCAATGTTGTATTGTCCTCATTTTTTTTTCTTTTTATTTCAATAGTTTTTTTCAGCCTCTGCTGTTTAATGCAGGCTGTATGCCAAAACCATCTTAGAAAGTCTGTTATGCCAGATGTCACCCTTTTGCCCTTTCGCTCTATCTGCAGATTTTCTTTTAACAACAGCTGAAGCCCAAGTTAGCAAGCATGCATTTTTTACAGTAAAAGAGGTATTATGAATAACACCTTTTGTATTTTGAATCACACCCTCAAAGAGCACAGCACTTTGTTCATGTACCACATCTTTAAAAAAAGGATTATTCATGGCTCCTTTAGATTTAAAGGGAGAACTTTAAGGTTTTGGCAGTTGAAGATCAGTTTTTTTATCCACAGTAGAAGCTGATAGGTTTGTTTTGCCTTGAAACTGATCATTTCTGGAAAAAAGGAAAAAAAAAAAAAAAGACACTACTCTACCTTAATCGCTTTATGTCTGCTCTCTGTTGTCAAAACAGACGTGTGAACAGTGACACTGCCCTCAAGGAGAGCTAGCTCCCTTGTGAACAGACCTACTCAACAAAGTGTGTCATTCAAACAAAGCATTGGGTGGGTTTTTTGCCACTACAGAGAGAAGAGGCCCTTAGGTCAATGATTAATTGAGGCAAGGAGGAGTTTCTGGATAAGTTGTTGGGCCAAGTTCAGCCTCCCATATGTTGGCATACTTTGTCAACTTTCACCTTTGGAAGTTTCTGTTCGAAAGTTGGTCAGCCACTCTAACAGCTAAATGTAACCCAGTCAGAAAATAAAACATTAGATATTCCATACTTCAGAGAACTTAAAAGATTCCTCCAAAGTAGAGGAAGGGAAATTCAGGGCAAAAGAATTCCTTCTTTCAGGAAGAACCTGTTCTGAGTATCCAATTCTGAGTTTCACGAAAATTTACTTCTACCCGTCTCCAAATTTATTTTATACAACAGAAAATCTATTTTATACAGCAGAAGCCTAAGCTATAAAAATCACAACATTCAGTATATAAGCTCATAGATATTGCTCTTTTAAAACTGAAAGAGACCTTAGAGATCATCTAGGGTTAACCTGAGAAAGTAACAACAGGTATAGAATGAGCTGGCTTACATTTTTAAAACTACCGAACAGCCATGAGCTAATGCCCCTAACTGGTACAACATAGCCATACGCGAGCAAGATCTCAATAAAAAAGAAGAAACACTGAAAAGGAACTAGCCTTTTCATTTCACATGTGAGAAACATGAAACCCAGAGATAGGAAATAATCTCCTCAAGGTCAAATAAGTGGTCTCTTCCCTTCTCCCACACTTTTCCCACTATACCACAACTACAGATCATTTTTGAGGTGGTTCTGGACAATTAGCAGTGCACTCTGAATCACCGTTCAGAGGTAAGCCACGAGGTAAGGGACATAAATAGGCTGATGTTTATCTACCACCAAAATACCCTCCAGAGAACACTCCTGGGTTAGCTGTATGGTCCTATACCCAATACACCTGTGCTATATAGACCCAGATATAAGAGTTAAAAGAATGAATTCTGCTGATTTTTTATCTGAACAGGAACATTTTCTTTTCAATGCAAGTCTGTATATACTCTATTAAGAATCAAATCTCAACTAGATTAACTAGAAACTTAAAAAAGAAAAAAAAAAAGTGAAGCCCAAAAGGAACTTACTTGACTTTAATTGAAGCACTTGCAGTAACTTGAGCATTTATAACACTTTTGTTAATCCTAAATGAATCTTCAGCTTCCAAAATCTCAGTCACCCATTAAAGCTAATGCCACAAAATACAGTTTGTTAAGCATATCCAAACCTGTGTTCATGTGAGTATCTGTGTTTCTTAAACCAGCTGTCTAAGATAAAGAAGTGCTGTCTTTTATCTGATTCTATTCATGCCGCAGTATCTAATCTCTGCCCAGGCTGAGCAGCTTTACAATGGAGGTGAGAAGTTGATCCACTAAAAGATCTCTGCTCCTCCCAGATACTTTTAGACAGTCACTGGTTCCCAACCCTGGCTAAGTTTTAGAATCACCTGTGGGGGCCTTTAAAACATATCAATTCCTGGCCTACAACCCCAGAGATGCTTATTTAGTACGTATGGGCTGAGAAAGCTTTTTGATTATTTTTAATTAAGTTCTCCAGGTGATTCTTTTGCAGCTAGTCTGTCAACAAGTCTTTGAAAACCAGAACTGTAGCTCTCTCTGAGCAGGAAAGGTGTTTATCCCCCACGGAGCTCTTGTTTGTATCCATTCATTTCATCCTTACCACTTTCTAGTAATTGTGACCATCAGAGAAAGCACCATGCCTCAGAGGGAAAGCAGGGAAAACAAAAGTTGAAACACCAACAAACCAGCAAAATCATATATTGTAGAACCAGGAAGGCATTCCAGAGACAATATTCACCAGAGAATGAAGACTCTTACACCTTCAAACTGATTGACTTGCCGTAGGATGTGTGACTTCTCTGATGACACTGGATTGTCATATCCTGGCCCTTTTAGCACAGTGGCGTTACTGCCTGACTTTCCTATAGACAGGGCCCCCAAAATGTACACCTATAGAAGGCCATGTTCACATAGTTGTGCCTCAGGGGTTTCCATTTACATAGACCATAATTTGAATATCAGAACCTGGAGTTGTACTCACCTCATGGCTCTGACCATACGCATTCAAATTCTTGATTTCTAACTCATCCAAGCCTCTTGCATTTCATGTCTGGAAACTGAAGTCCATAGACATCATGGGACTTACCTAAGATTATAGAGCAGTATAGTGTCAGAGTTAGATAAATGCTCTTCCTTAATTCATAAGAACAGGTACCTGGGTCAATGCAAACACCACACTCAGCAGTCCCAGCTCCAGAGGAAATAAGGACAGTGTTGAGATTAAAGAGTCCACCCAGGGAAGATGAATATCATGTCACAGAAGTCCTGCCACTGAAGTCTCCACTTCCCAGAGTCCCACAGTCAATCTGAGGGGATCAAAAGCAATGAATTCAGCTACACTGCAGTAAATGTTCCCATTCCAAGAGATTTGGATACTTGACAGGGAAGGGAAGGGAGGCAACCATGTCATTTAGTTAGAAAGAAGAGATGATGATAACTTGTTCCATAAGGTTAAAAAGAGAGATTATTTTTCCTAGGACTTCTACTTGGATGTTTTGGTCTTCGTCATCACAGAAGAAAAATACTCATATTATGAAGACAGAAGTATCTCAGCAGATTCTGAGGGACAATAAAAGGATTAACTGATCAATGAAAGAGTAGCCCTCTTGATATCTTTAGACAAGCTGGATAGGGTGACTGATTCTGAGGTACACTGTGTTTCTACTGAAGTATGAGATGTTGAGGGACAATTCTCCATAGGTGTCTAGTGTTACGAGAAGAGGCACTGACTACCTTAGTCCCAAACTATCTTTTCAGTGATATTTGTAGAAAGAACACACTTGGAAGATAGTGATAGTATCTCCCTCCAGAGCAAGCAGAAAGTTAATTTACTGTCCTGTATAATAAAGATAATGTCTTCCGACCACGCGCGGTGACTCACGCCCGTAATCCCAGCACTTTGGGGAGGCCGAGGCGGGCGGATCACGAGGTCAGGAGATCAAGGCCACCCTGGCTAAAATGGTGAAATCCCGTCTCTACTAAAAATACAAAAAAAGTTAGCCAGGCATAGGTGGTGCACACCTGTAGTCCCAGCTACTTGGGAGGCTGAGGCAGGAGACTGGAGTGAACCCAGGGGGTGGAGCTTGCAGTGAGCTGAGATCCCACCACTGCACTCCAACCTGGGTGACAGAGGGAGACTCTGTCTCACAAAAAAAAGAAAAAAAAAAAAGATAATGTCTTCCTCTGGGGAAAAGGACAGTCAGGCTTACTGTCCCTTGTAAGATATTCAAGTTCCCTAACTCAGGATTCCTCACCTGTGATGCAAGCCCCCTGTGTTTGCAGCATTCATCTGGATCTCTTTGTATTACCTACATAGGACAGGGAGAGGAGAGGAACTGATACAAATAGTATGCTCATTCCACTTGCTATTGTTATACGTAATAGAGTCCTCTGTCTCTGACCACAAATCTCATGTCTTCTGCCAGTATCCATGGAACTATAGCAAGCAAACATGTTAGTTTCCAGGTAGGGTAAAATCTCAGATGCATCACAGTTCTTGAGACAGGGAAAGGCTTCAAATTCAATCCACAAAACCAGATTTTTTCTCACTATTGTATGAAAATAAAAAGACGAATTTCTTTTTATTCACACAGGTAGTACTAATAAATAAAATTAACATAGACAAATAGTAAGCTTTTGTTTTCTATTGATATGTCACAAAAATACCAGACTACTTTCTGAGACATACTAGGACCAGGCTAAAATGTAAGGAAAATAACCAGGACCTGGGTTGGATTCCAGAAAGCCCAATTAGTAGATCAAGGCATCTAGCTGAGGCAAGAAGTAGGTATTTGGTGCAATGTCAAAAGGGCTAGAGGAACACAGATTATCAGAGGAATAGAGGGGCAGCTGGTTCCTGGCAAGACAACAGGTAGTAGCAATGTAAAGTATAGGATTGGTTTCAAGAAACATAACCTACTCTCTCATCCATAAATTGGGGAACAGGATAGAGATTGGCCAGCAAGAATCAGACTATATTAGTGGAACAAATTCAAGTTGGGACCCCAAGCCATGAGAAAGACTAGAAAACTGAGCAGGCTTACCCGAGAGAGACAGAGTAGGGTAAAAACTGAAGTTCAATTGTAGAACTGGGCTAAAAAGACACAAGAAAAACAAGGAGAATGTTGAGAGATTCAGAAGCTGCATAGCCCTCTGAGCCATCCTTGGCCCACCAGATGTTAGCATGAGACTGTGACTTCCAGCATCTTTTGACTCCATCCTGAACTGCCTTAGCAATTGACTGATCCTGGATCTGGTGCTGGAGCCTTCTGTAGATTCAGTATGAAGGTAAAGACAGAGGGAAAGAGGCAGCATACCAAAAAGTAGCATCTGAAAATGGTTGTTATGTTTTACAAAATATCAGATCACTAAGCCACTTGACAGTCTATCCAATCAGATGAACCATGCCATTTTTGTCACAGGACCAATCACTGTGACACTAAATTGGAAAAATATGTACAAGGTTTAGATTTGACCTATGGAGTATATGGAGGTTTAAATGCTGATGGAAGTTGATTTTTGCTTTTTTATTTTTGTTATTATTGCCCCAATACAAATTCATTCGTTAGACTTAAAACCTACTGGCCCATAAGTCCTTTGGTAAAAGGCTGGGAGAATCATTACAACATATATATGTCATGGTGTTGCCAGGTCCTTCCTCTTGGAGACTTAGCCACCACTTCAGTCAGTGAACTCTAGGTCTGGAAAATGGTTTAGGTTTGGAAACTGGATAGAGAGTATGAATTTTTATTGGGGAATTTTCTCTCAGTCTCTTGCCCATTCATTCTTACTTCCTGACCATCAAATTCCTTGGTATTATGTATATTCATGAGAACTTACTGGCTATCCATAGGTTTTGCCCCTGAGAACGTCACGTCTGTTGATCATCTTTACAATTCTCTGTAGGTCAATACCACTTGGCTGTCCCTTCCTGACATCTAGAGGTTAAGTGCCACTACCTAGCCTCTATTACTTTAGGGCCCTCTCATTCCCATTGCTATCATCAACAAGCCAATCTCCAGAATAGTGTCTCCTCCCATCAGTCCTGCTTTCCAGAGGAAAGCCACCACTGAATCTCTTGGTGATGCTCGTTCGCTTACCATCATCACATTCCTGATGACCTTGGTGAGTGGTGTGTCCTCTGGGACTTTCCGTAGAACATAATCCTCTAGCAGGTCTTTTGGCCTGACATATTATAGCCACTCCAATATGCCCATTTCCAGAACATTTTAAACCTCTTGTTTTGCCCTTTACCATTGCAACTGAGATATTTCCATTTCACTCAACATGAACAATGACTTTCTCTAGGTTTTTAGGAGCACCTAAGTAGTTTGCACCATCTTCTGAAGTCCTTGTCAGTGTTGCATGTTGCATCCCAAAAGAATTCTCTCAAGTGAATAAAGTCTTCCTTATTTAGTCTTATGTTTTGATCCCTGTGGTCCAGCACCCTCAAAATCCAGTCCCATGGGTTCTCCAGCAGCTTCTTCTAGTACATACTGGCTAATTCTTGCAGTCCTTTGGAGTATAGCTCCATTCTCCTCGTATGAGACCCAGCATGTCCCTATCTAGGCTATGCTGCAACTTAACCCCAGCTATTGATTGGGCAGCCAGGAAAAAAAGCAGGAGCAGATGTCAAGAGGGATTCTTGCAGCCTAGTGGGGCAGAGTGTCTTTCCCTGGGAGAGTGGGTTTGGTTTTCTGTTTTCCTATAGCAAGAAATACTGGCCTTTTTATAAGCTCTACCAAAGAATCCTTTTGGACTACATAGGTTTTAAATTATTTGTCAATCATTGCATAACATGTTGTGTTTGGCCATACCGTTTCTCTTCACTTTCCGCTGAACAAATGCCTATTTCCCATGAGTTTGGTGGCTGTGGTGGTTGGCTCCTACATGCCTGTACTTTGGGGTTCTTGGGATTGTGGTGATGCCTAGTATTGTTGCCAGCGTCGAACATGGCTTTTTGCTTTTGTTTTTTAGTCTGTTTTTTGTTTTGTTTTGTTTTGTTTTTTTGAGATGGAGTCTCACTGTGTCGCCGAGGCTGGAATGCAGTGGCAGGATCTCGGCTCACTGCAACCTCCACCTCCCAAGTTTAGGCAGTTCTCTACCTCAGCCTCCCGAGTAGCTGGGATTAAAGGCATGTGCCAGCACACCCGACTAATTTTTGTATTTTTAGTAGAGATGGGGTTTCACCATCTTGGCCAGGCTGGTCTTGAACTCCTGACCTCGTGATCCACCCACCTCGGCCTCCCAAAGTGCTGGCCTCCGAAAGTGCTGCCTCCCAAAGGCGTGAGCCACCATGCCCAGCCGTCTCTCTATTTCTGTATGAGGATTCAGATCCGAAACCTACACTGTCATTGATGCTATCTTTGCAGAATTAGGTGTGAATTTTATTGTTTTATCTATATTTTTTTTCAAGTAAAATGTAGAATGCAATGAGAAATTTGATACCTGCTTTAGCATTTAAGCTGAATCAAGCCACAGAAGGAATGTTGTCAGGAAAGAAGATATTTAAAACAGAAAATTAAATCACAAACTATCAGGTTTTTTTTAAGCCAAGAAAGTGATGCACCTGAAACTGATTCAAAGAATAATGAAATGACCTTGTGCCTTTTTTTCTACCTGTCACATTCCACAGCTAATAATAGGAAGTCTGAAAGTCACAAATTACATAGAAATGGGAGACTAAAGAATATATACAATGGCAAACAAAAAAATATATGGATTTGCACAAATGTTCATTTTGAAAATGGAAGAAAGTTTGTGCTTGTTATTTCACACAAATGGATTCACCTAACCATAATTAAAGGCTCTAGCCAATTAAAGGTGTAATAAAACCACAGATAGCTGTAAAATGAACAGAAGAACTCTCCTGAGGGTCTGGAAACTGAGGGTTGCTTATAGTTCTCTGTCTTAGATCTTATCCTTTTGGGAAAATAATGAATCTCAAGACTTTCATGGTTTTGTACAGATTTCTTCCATTTTAGAGTATTTTCCCCTTTTTAAGCATTTTTCCCTTGTATTTATGGCATATACAATCAGATGTGCAGCAACTGTAATTCCCACACAAAATAGGCTTTGGGGACCTGA